AGGAAAACACTCAACATCCACAGAAGCATGCACATACCTGTGCACACACCAGCACATAGGCATGCCTGCTCCAACACACATACACAAGTTCATGCACGCACACTCAACACACATGACAAGCTTAAATGGGGTTGTTAGAGTGAGCCCTAAGCCAATCTGTCTGGCTTCCTTACTAGGAAAGCAGAGGAAGTCACACAGTGAGACACCAGGGACAGGGCACAGAGAAAATTTGTGTGAAGACACAGCAAGAAGGCAGCCATCCAGAAGCCTAGGAGAGAAGCCTCTGGACAAACCAACCCCATCAGTACTTGCACTTTAGGCTCCAGCCCCCAGAGATGAGAAATACATTTCTGTCATTTAACCCCCCACTCTGTCTACAGTGTCAGGTCAGCTGCACCTAATAGAGACATGTGCATGCAAAGCTGCTTTTCTATATGGGTGATGTGTTTGCACCAGAGTGTCTGCGGGACAACTGTAAAGCAATTGTTCTTAGAAGATACTGCTTTGCTAAGCCTCTTTAAAGTGGGTAGAAGAAATCCATCAGAGCTGCAGCTTTATCCTTCAGCATATGCCGCCAATCAAGGGCCACCCTTTGCCTACCAAAGAGAAGCCTATTCAAGGGGACTCAGATACTGCTAATGTCTGAGTTCACATAGTCAAAAGGATTGGCTCATAGCAGCAGTGGCTACCCCATGCCCTGACAAGAAATGTGAATAAGGAAAACACATGGTTGTGTTAACTGTCAGCCAGGATTAGATATCAGCACTACGTGTGCCTTGCCAAACGTGTCACTGCCTACATGCCTTAGTTTATCCAATAGAGAAATGCCATGTTTACACGGCAGAATTCCCATGATAATTTTATTCTTTCCCCCTTTTCTCTGAAACAAGGTTTCATGTAATCTAGGTTGCCCTTGAACTTCCTATGTAGCTGAATATGACCTTTAACTTCTGACCCTCTGCTTCCATCTCCCAAGTGTGGAATTACAGCTGTACCACCACACCCATGAAATCAAACTATGTGTGGAAGGCCTACGGTAGACAACTTAACACACATCATAGTTTCTCAGCTACAAACTTCTCAGCACTAACACATTCAGGAAGAGAAAATTCACGGTGGGCCAGCTTTGTCTGTCTGAGCTGCCATGGGTACGCAGTGTGGTTTGCAGAAGAACCTGACATTTCTCCGTTACAAATTAACTTTCTTCAGTCTTACCAAAATGAAACTTCTTTGACAAAATGCAAATACCTCTGAGATAGCAGTAAATAATCGAAGGTTTTAGTCAAACACCAGCAGCTACATGAACCTAAGGCCATATGATAAGATGAAGTGTAATGCACCAGGAACTAACCAGTCATAGGGGGGGACACAGAGGGACGATCACAAACAAGCTGGAAGTTTCACCTGTCTTGTGATTTTTCCAAATGATACTTAGACTTTTGGGGACCTAGATGCATTCTGCCACACTGTCAGCCACTCTGTTCACACACACACACACACAGAGAGAGAGAGAGAGAGAGAGAGAGAGAGAGAGAGAGAGAGAGCTGAATTTGCAGCAAACCCTGCAAGACCCCACTACCTAAATGTACCCACCAAACTGCAGAGATGTGTGCAGTTCTGAGTCTGTTTCTGGAGCTTGTGCTTTCGTGAAAATTTGGACATAATGCTTCTTTTCCGTAGTGATATGACAGAGAAGAAAACTAACTCAATGCCTCCCTTCCACCCTTGGATTAAACCCCGAGATCAATGAGCCGGTGTTTGATCAATCCTTCCTGGATAATGTTCACACCATAATATTAAATTAGAAAAATAAGACATCTAATTTCCCCACCTATAAAAGTTATATGGTCCTTTTGCTCATGTTCAATTTGCATCAGTTCATTGAGTCACAAGTGTGCCGCTTCCAAGAGAATCATGTGTCGTTATTACAGAGCACCTCAATCTAAAGGAAGGCACTCCACCTAAAAGAACTTCAAAACACCAGCGGTTTCCAAGCTGAGAGACATTACTGTGTTATTTAGATGCAGCTACCCCTTCACTTGTACAAATATCCGCCTTCCTATTCAAGTATATGGTCCACACTGTCATTAGAGATAATAAGTTCCTTGTGCTTAATACCTGTTTTGGCAAGTGGTATTTTCATTGGGTCTAAAAATTACTTATAGATGGGATCCTTAAGGGAACGGTTCACTCTGAGCAAAAGAAGGGCAGGTCAGGCTGTTCCCAAGGGTCTCTGGTCTTGTGGGCTGGCTCCTCCCACTTGGGACCACAGCACGCATGCTCCGGAGTCTGTTAACTTGACGGTCCAATGAGCACTGAGGTTCCTCTGGTCTCTGCTCTAGCCCTTAAATCTGGTATCTGGACCCCGTCTTAATGTTCCCGAGTCTAACAAAGTCCAAGTAGTTCCTCACTTCTGTCAGCACAGTCCAGCCACCAAGAGTGTGTCCCAACCCAACTAAGATAGTCAGCCCTGTTCCAGCTGACTGAGGGAGGCTGTATGGTCCCCATACGCTTGCTCTCTTGACAAGATTGGGAGTGGACAGTATCCCTTATGGGAAGATGAAGAGCCATTAGTGACCTATGCTAACAAGAGGCTTCAAGAACTGTGTCTATGGGCCAGTAAAAGGCTCAATGAGCAAGGTAACAAGGCCCTTGTTACCAAACCTGATGACCCGAGTTTGATCCCTAGGACTTACATGGTAGGAGGGAACTGATTCACACATGTTGTCCTCTGACCACCACATGTGTATAGTGGTACCACACACACACACACACACACACACACACACACACACACACAATGTCCATTCTAGCTAACCCTCAGACCTGAAATTTTAGAGCCCAGCTTTCCTGGCTTCATGGCTGTTTTGTTATAATTTAACTTCATTCACCAGTAGTACCCCAATACACTGACCACTTATTCTGCAAACCTACAGGGAAAAACAGCTATGAGCAACTTACATTTGTGGGGTGGCAATCCTGCAAAAACCACGCCCCACATTATTATCGTGGCTTTAGAGGTGCGTTCAAGTGATTCAGGAAAGTCTGGAAAGAGTGGAGAACCCCCATCATTTTGGTTCATCTTATGACTCAGATCCTTTGCAAACATTGCTTCTGCAATATCCCCACCAAGTGGCTGTTCAGCTTCTGCTTTCCGTTCACAGGTAGGAACTTCATGATCCAAGGCAAGCCAAGCTTCAACTAACTTCAGGGAGTACACTTCTACTGGGCATGGACTTCTTGTCTACATCTTCCCAAGGATCCTCAAGGCTCTCCGATGCTCATCAGCACACAGCCTCACACCAGGGCAGGCAGATGAGCACAGTGAGGAGCTCATGCTGATGAGCAAGGAGTCCTTGGATCAAAACATGTATGAGCGAGGAGTAACCCTGGGCTTGCACATGCTCAACAAGAGCCCCACCCAAGCTGCCATTCTGTCCTCTTTAGCTTTGAATTTATCAAGCTGGCACTGCTCTCTGACTCCAATCTGTTCAGACATGAACCTGTTTTTGACATTCAAATAGCTGTCATGAGCAAATGTGATCAGTGTCCTTAACCTAGTAACTGACAAAAATCCAAACTAGCCACCAAAAAGCCCTATCTTCCACTAGAAAAGTCACTGTTTACTTAACAAATCACCATCTCAAAGACTAATTCATAACCTCACAGAAGCTGGTCAAAACATTTCTAAGACACTCTGAGGTCATGGGACCCAGAGTGTCCCTAATGCTTACCATGTTAAAGGGGAAAATGGTAGGTACATATGACTGCAGTTTGATACCTTTACAAACTCAGAAACATATATAGAAAACTATGGAATACACCCAAAGTACAAAAGATCCCGCATCTACTGGCAAGGAGCAGTGGTGGCCCCTCTCAGTATGTGTCCAGAATATTATAGCAGTAGCTAGAACAGGAGGTGAGAGCAAGAAGCGGACAGCAGTGTGTGTTTCCACCAAAACCATCCAACCACACAGCAGCGCTCGATCACAGGAAAACCAGAGACCTGGAAAGTGATACAGCAGCAGGCAACAAATGGCTTAACACCTACACCCTCCGTGGGCTCCTCATAAACACACAAAGCTTCCATTTCTTCAGAGAACATCACACACTCTCGAGTTTACTGTCCCTTTCTGTCTCCTAAAGAAGAAACCCTGGAGGCCACCAGCCAGGCACGTGTTCTCATCATTATCCACACAGACTTCATGCATGTCACGAATGAGTGACAAAATGCATGTGTCTCCAGTCGGTCCTCACTTACAAGAGAATCATCAAATGCTTCTATTTTTACCATTTTAACTAAACATTCAGCCGCCTTTGAAAATTAAATTCCCATTAGGGCAGCTTGGGATCGGGGTCCCAGAGTAGGAGCACAGCTTGTTCTTTTCTCCAATAGGAGCAGATGAGGTGCTGCCACGCCACCATTCAATTCACTTTTCAGATCTATGAAGCCTGTCTACTCACGATCAAAGGTTTTCCCTAACCTGTCTTCTATCTAAATCAGCCAAGTCTCTTCTTGTGAGAAATGTTAAATAAATGGCTGTTCTCATAAAATACGAGAAGTGACTAGCAGAAATAATCGGTAACCTCCCTGCATACACTTTCCTTTTACAATTTACAGACCAGAGACTGCGGTAAATTTTAAAAACTGACCCCCCAGACCCAATGTTCAGTGTGTCACTGTCCTGACAGCAGACACCAAGGCTCGGAGATGCGAAGTCACTGCCCAAGGCCTTCTGCTAAGAACCAGAATCAACTCAGATCTCAGAGCTCACTCACCATTAAGCCTTTACCAACTTCTCCCTGGGCCTCATCAAAACTAAGATGTTATTCATGGTAACACCGTGACACCAAATGTACAACACTGCTAATCAAAGCCAAGTGCAATTTGTCACAATTTCCCCAATTTTAAAACACGCGCTTGTTATGTAGACTACTCACACACAGTTGAACATGCACATACACATATTTAATCAATAAAGTACAGCAAGCTACCAGCATTAGGACAATATATTCTTTATAAACATTACAAGATATACATGCCACTCTCTGAATCTTTTAGAAAATTAATTTAGCTACAAACTACAGAAAGGAGATAAATCTCACTCATGAACAACTGTAGGAAACTGAAGACATTGGCATGAGTGCCCCTTCTCTTCATCTGTGGCATTAAACCACATGCGTTGAGATAGATGACAACCTTCTAGACCATAAGCATGACTCAGTTATTTGTATCTTCAAGCATCTGAGAGTAGGAAAAGGTAGCAAACCCATTCAAAATATTCCACTAAGAGCAACATTACTGGGACTGTAGAGGAAGAATAATCAGAAGCTGAAGTCATCCTAAGCTACACAGAAAATTCAAGACCAAACCAAACTACGTGAAACCACCTTTACAACTGAATGTTTTCCTGAGCTCCTGTTCTTTTCTCCAAAAGGTAAAGGACAGCAACAGTGACTTCTCATTCCTTGTCGAGGAAAGTTTGTTCTGTGACCTCAGTGAAGGTCTACTGAATGACCCACCCACTTGATGCTCATGTTCAGACCCTCTTTTCCCGTCCCCTGAAAGTGCTCATGTCGTAGGCCCACACAGTGTCGATGCCCTCTCCAGCAGTGTGATTTGGAGTCCAGTGTGGGAAAGGGAACCTGCAGGCAATGACTCTAGCATCATCCTCAAGTTCAAGCTCAAGTTTCTTCTCCAGTTGCGGCATCTATGGAGAACAACAGCCATTAGGTTCCCGAACATCACTTCAGGCACAAACACTCATCAAGCAATCTATTAACACAAGAAGACACATTAACAGTCATACAAGGACATCTTCTAGTACCAATTATAAAATAATCTATTTTAACAGATACATATCATAAATGCTTGATTTTCTGACAAAAATCATGATATGACAATAAGTAAAAAACTAATTATTTTAAATGATCTACTACTTAAGCACTTTAATATAGTATATATTTCATGTATTTAAGACATATTTTTCTATACGTTTAACATCTCTGAATTGGAACACATCAAACAACTAACATTATCCTAGAATTGCAATCGCTGTTTTTTTTTTCCTCAATAACAACAGTACACTGTAGCATCAATGTTTAGAGTTGGTGAAATATTGTCTAATTAGACCATGAAAAAGTATACATTCTACCATTTAGAAATGATCTTAAGCCAAGAGGTGGCACACGACTTTAATACCAGCACTCACGAGGCAGAGGCAGGCAGATCTCTGAGTTCTAGGCCAGCCTGGTCTACAGAGTGAGTTCCAGGACAGCTAGGGCTACACAAAGAAACCCTGTCTTGGAAAACCAAAAGAGGAAAAGAAGAAACAATGTTTAACTGTGTACATAACTTACTGGTGATGCACATCCTCTCTTAGTAGTGTTTAGTTCTACGAGGTGCAGCCAGGACCTGACACACTGGGCACCCCTCCCCCACCAAGCTGTATCTGCAGCCATGACAGTGAATTTCTAGACAATATAGACTACATCAATCTCACATCATTGTATTACCCTATCTACCAATAAAGCGTTTTACATACTAGTGGAAGTACTGACATTTTAATTACATCAACAACTATTCAAAATTATCTGTAGTTTATAAAAATTATTAACACCCTCATATTCTAAAAATGCTTCACTTTCTACTCTTAACTGATTTTGAGATGGTGTCAGTTTGTAGACAAGCTGCAAGAACTAACAGAGAGGCTACCGGCAATCCACCCCAGCAGAGTTTTAGTGCTGTCTGCTTGTCCATTACAGCCCTCTTCCCCCACGAACTGTCTCTAAACTTTTAAGAAGAGGCTACATACAACACTGCTGTTTCTTACACACCTACGTGAGGCTCACACCAGGAAAACTTATTCTGCCCACAGCAACCCCAGGACAATTCAGTCTTTTTCTCCCAGTGGTACCCTGCACCCCCCAGGAAGGAGCTCTGTGCTCAGCCATATGGTTTCTTCAGTCTCCTAGTTTGGGGTTGTTCTTTTTTGTTTGCTTTGTGGAACTAGGATGGTCTGCCTTGTGTATGCCAACCCAAGGCCCTACCCCAGCTATACCCAGTTCAGCCTCTTCTGACCTGGGACAGTTCCTATCTTCCTTGTCTTTCAATGACAATAAACCAACAACCCTCACTCAGGTTCCTCTGCTAATTGCTTCTGATGGCTCAGTGGGTCTCTGGCAAAGGCCCACTGTAAGCCTGTAAACTTACCAGAGCTCCAGAAGCCCACCTGTTCTTAATGGTGCCATCAGCCACTTGCTCAGGCGAACCCGGTATCTCTGCAATGCATTGCCATCTCCCCTTTACCCTTAGTGACCATCTCTGCTCTAGAAGTAGCTAGAATGCTGTCAGTTTTTACTAGGAAGGCCACAAAGTGGCAAAGGGCTACTCCATCCCTCCCCTAGATCAGCAGTTCTCAACCTGGAGATTGAGATCCCTTTCGGGGTCAAACAATCCCTTTCACAGGGATCCCCTAAGACCATCAGAAAGCATAGGTATTTACACTATGATTCATAACAGAAGCAAGATTACAGTTATGAGGTGTGGAGGTCCCGGCAGGTGTCAATGCAGACAGTGATCAGCAAAGAAACAAGAATGAAAACCCAGTGTAGATTGACTTCATCAACCTGGGTCAGACTTCGGAGAACCTAATGCCAGCTGGTTCACTGTCAGCATATTTAAAACACAGTACACTTTGGGAAAAGATTTCCAAACAACCATCAGTCCAGTTCCAGGTGTACAATAAAGCTTAAGGTGCATCTACATCAAGACTCTTCTACAGCACATGTAATCATGAGGATGGGCTCTATAGGTAAAAAGCCTAGAATCCAATGTGGTCTCAGATCGACAGCAGAGTGGTTAACAGACCATATAATACTTGTGACAGCTACTCTAGAGATGTGTAATGGTCTACGGAGGAAAGAGTCTGGAATGACCATTCTGGGGACTTATGGTGGGGTCTGCCTCTATAGCAGAAGGTGAGTGGGGTCTGCCTCTATAGCAAAAGGTGGGTGGGGTCTGCTTCCACAGGTGGCAAAAAGGTCACTATGTCCTTAACAAAATCCACTCTCAACTTCCTAAATGGATGCGGGTATTAGCTTGTATCCCCCCAGGGAAGAGATACCCATGCATGATTAACCTTGCTTGTTCTCTTAGTGCTTCTCTGTGAGTACAAGGACCTCTGTGCTTGTACCCCCAATGAGGATGTAGCAACAAAAGTAATTTTATGGTTGGGAGTCACCACCCATGAGGAACTGTATTAAAGAGTCACAGAATTAGGAAGGTTGTGAACCACTGCTCTAAATGAACACTTAGTATTATGTTGCAAGGGCGAGCTTTTCCTTCCTGTGTCCCTCTGCCTCTCTGTCTGTAGCATCTATCTACTGCAAATATACCTATCCATACTCTAATTCTATTCCATGGTTCATAATTCACTGTTGGACCTGCTTATGCTAATGTTCAAACTGTCCCAATCTGGCCATGGTGCACCTCCTGCATCTGGCTGCTCTGTCCTTTGGACAAACTCCCATTAAATATCTTGAGTATTTCCTCATGTTTGGCTCAATAAAAATGTCCAAGCTTCCCTCCTATAACCCTAGATCAGCTATTCTCAAAGATTCCTAGTTCCCGTAGTGAAAAATGGTACTTAGAAATGAAGATCTAAGCAGAAACTACTCCCTCTGAAAGTAACTACAGCAAGACAGAGAAAACAGCTGGGCTCTCATGAAGGTTTCATTCTTGACCAGCACCTTACAAAAATGACTTGGAAAAAAACCCCAAGATATGGATGGAATAAGCCAAAATTCTAGTGCATCACTGGAATTGATAATGGAGAATAAATTCCACTAAGAAGAGAAGATTTCTATTCTTCTAACTGCCAGCAAAGAACTGAAAAAAATAAATTATTCCTTAAGGGAAAAATTAAATAAGCAGAAATGAGAAAACATGCATTTTTCAAAATACCAGGTTTCTTATGGTAATTTTGTTAATAAAAAGGTAATTGTAAATGTATTCAAATTCCTATTCTTTTCTCTTTTGTGGTTTCTTTCACTTCAGAGTGACTGTCATATGCTAAGTCAAGATAAACCTAAAAATGAAAGAAGATACCTCAATCATAAGAAATTAACTGACTAAATTACACATAAATATGCATCAAATCTGTCTTGATCTCACAGACACACACACACACACACACACACACACACACACACACACACACACACACACACACACACGGAGAGAAGTAGTGCTGTGTCATGCCTGTCTAATAGAATTCAAAATTATTCATATAATTATGGGTTGCAAAGTGACACAAATTCATCATATTCAAATCATAGCTTCAGAATTTGAAGCACATATTGAATCCGCTAAAGGCATAAAACAGACCTGTGGCTGAAAGAGCTGACCCAAGACCTAGCAGCCTCCTTCCTCCTCCACTTGGCTCCAAGGGTAGGGACATCCTTACCAAAGATCTCCTGAAGCCTTGACTGCTTATGCCTCACTTCCCAGACAAAGCTCAGGCCTTGAGCAGGTCCTCCCTGAGATCTGCCTGCCTCCTAGACTTGCCCCCATAGGTGTGCACAATCAGGTGTGAACCTGAGTTCCAGATCCTTCCTTACCCAAGACTGTCATGTGACTCCAGACAGTCATGTGACTGCAGACTCCAAGACTGCCAGTATGACTTCAGGAGCCCACACAGAGCTGCCTATACCTCTTTCAGCTCAGCTCCTGGTGAACCAAACATCCAAGATGCAAAAGACAAGAAGTAGCTAGCCTGGACTCCTGTTTCTTACCAATACTGGAGATACCTACTACTTCTGCTGAGTTTCTCTTGGGAATTTGAGGTCTTCTCACCAGCTAACCCAGTCTCAGTCAGGCACTTGGACACCGCAAAGAACATATAACTATCTCCCAGTCCCTAGTGTCTTGGTTCTGACCTCCATGCAGTGGTGGTCTTTTTCTGCCCAAACTAGTCTGCTCAACCTCAACAGTTCCTTCCCTTAGGAAGACCAGCATCCTTCATGTGCCGCTCCTATTCCATGACTCACCTCAAATTCACATCACCTCATCATCCGCACTTGCTTTTCGTTCTCCAGCCATGCAGGTCCTTGGCCTGAATGACTCTTCATGGATGGTATCCTTTCAGGGATACTGACCTAGCCCTGCTCCTTTCCTGTTCTCGATTAACTCCACAGAGCATATTCTCCTCTAGTACATGGCACATTCTATATAGATTTCTTATTTAACATATAATCTTCCCACTAGGGTAGAGGTATTGCCAGAACACAGTCCAAGAATGGAGTCACGGGAGAAGGACTTGGAATGATTTTGTGAGAACACTCCAAGAAAACAAGACAAGGGTCTTGTGACCTCGGTTTCTTTAAAGCATGGAATTGTTTTCAGATGGTTTCCATGCTCCTCCCAGGTGTAGTGGACGGGAGGGAGTTTACTTCAGATCACTCATTGTTGCTTGCTGTTAGTGAATTAATTAACTGTTTAATTAATTCTCTTTTATGACTCTCCTTTATGACTCTACAGAAACATGGTTTTGACACGTGTGGCTTGTCCTTGTGATTGAGTTCAGCTCGAGCTCATGAGAGCTTCACTCCAGTGACTCCTGTCTGAGGCTCTGCATGACTCATTCAATGGCTCCATTCTCCCAGGCCCTGCCACCGCTAGGGTGGTGACACACACAGGCACCTCAGGGCACTCATGCTTTGTCACGCACTCATATAGTCACGTGATAAGATCCTGCCTCGGTTGCAGCAGCCACACTTGCTGCACAAACAAAGGCTGCAGGCACAGAAGTATACAATATCCACTGAGTGGGACAGGGTGGAAGGTAGAACCCACCGAGGACAGCTTCAGAGAGGGAAGGGTAGGCATTCACTAAGCCCAGTGCAGAGTGGGCCTGAGAGCAACAAGAATGGATGGGCCCTGGGGAGCAGCACAGCGGATTGAGTCCAGGGACTGACAAGCTGAAGAATTGTGCAGAGAACTAACAAAAAATGACTAAGACAAGGTCACAAGTGGGCAAGGCCCACGCCAGGCTGAGTTCCATGGCATGTTTGGACCTTTTCCCTAAGTTAGCAAGATGTCACAGAGGGCTTACGGTTTGGTGTTTTGGTTTTTTGGGAGGGTGTTTGAGACAAGGTCTCATGTAATCCAGGCTGACCTCAAACAGGCTACGTGTCCAAGGATGGCCTTGAACTCCTGATACCGTGCCTCCACCTCCAAGTGGTGGGACTACAGGCATGCACCAGCACATCTGGTTTATGCAGTGTGGGGGGGAATTGAACCAGAGCTTCATGCACAAGAAACACCCTCACCACCTGAGCTGTATCTCCAGCCTCAGAACAAACACTCTTACCACATACTAATATCCTAGTATTATGATGACCCCGCCCCCTGACCACTGAACACCTGGCATTCAGGCAGATACTTAGATAGCTCAAAGGGTCCTGTGTTGCATGGCTACATTGAGCGTTACATGGCTGCTTAAGGACTCTGTACCATGTGCAAGCTTTCCCTTTTAAGCAAGCGCCTCCCACCTGTTTCCCTTCTCTCCTTCCACTCGGTTCCCAGTGGACCAACGCCTACCCCTCCCTTTGCTCCCTCTCCCCAATAAACTCCACATGGGTTTTTTTTAAAAAAAGACTCAACCTGTTCCATGCTTTAGAAAGAGCCTCTTGGTGCATAAATTCATGCTAAATATGAGTATTTGCAACCTTTGTAGAGAGTGTCCACCAGGTCCACATGGACTCCTCATCGCACTTCAATACACACTTCACATTAAAGTGGTAGCTGTAATTTCCACAACTGCACTGTACCATCAGAAATAAACCAGTTGGTATCAAAAGCAGGGCTGAGGAGTTAAATGCTGGCTGTTCTACTCTACGCTTGCCCAAGGCTCCTCCAGGCTCTCCAAGTGCCTGTCAGTGCATCAGCTACCCTGAGACACTTGCCCTGACACACTGGTTTTGGAGGGCCATCAGCCCATGTCAGGAGTACTGGGAGAATGGGATGCAATTTAATAACATCCTTACACAGACTGGTAAAGGACTTTCCCAGGCCACCCAGCTATGACAGGGCAAAGCTGGTCTCCAACTTCCCAGCCAGCATTCTCTCCTGACCCTCACCCTATCCACGTGACCAAGTTTGATGTGGGCTGAAAGTAGCGATTCCACTCGTGACAACTCAGCTCAACAGATGTCAAGAGAGCTCCTGGACAGCCCACTGTGTGCAGAACACCAGCTGGATCTTTAAGGAACACGAATGCTCTGTGAGTTCCCACCACTCCTCTTCCTTCCCAGAAACTGTGAAATGCTCACATTCCTTGCTTAAGATTTGCCTGTGTATAGCAGACTTAGCAATAGTTGCAAATGTATTTTCCAAAATAACCAGACCCACACTGCCCCTGAGGAAGCAGCCTCCACTCAGCATTACAAAGGCCACTGCTGCCCCCAGCAGGGCACCAGCCTAACTTCCTCTCCCCAGACAACATAGAATTCCCAGGAAATCTACTTTTCTACTTTAGACATTGAAGTTACTTGTCTCCAATATGCTCATTCTTACATCTTAGAAGGAAAAGCCCAAACACTGTAAGTAGTCAGCCTCCATCAAAGTGCTGTATCTATTCTATGATCCCAAATTACTTTTACTTGTGGGGTGGGGAAAGTTTGAGGGGAGGGGCTTACTCTGAAACCCAAACTTGTCCCAAACTTAAAGTAACCCTCTCCTCCCTTGGTCTCCTGAGTGCTGGGATTGCAGGTGTGAGCCCAAGCCTGACTCAAGCCAGGTTTTAAATGATCAGGGACCAAGACCTCACACCTGCCTTCACTTTTAGAACAAAAGCAGAGTTACTCACAGGTCCGTAGCAGACATACAGTATGCCATCATTTCTGGTTTGTAAAAAACAAGGATGTCCCAATGTGGGGGTCAATTTCTCAAGCAGTTAAACACTGTGTATAAAAGTCCCAAGCATAGCTGGGCATGGTGGCATATGCCCATAACCTCTACGCATAGGAATTGGAGACTGCAAGTTGAAAGCCAACCTGAGTTACATAGTAATTCCCAGGCTAGCCAAGGCTGCACATGATACTCTAGCTCAAAAAGCCAACAAAAGCCTAAGGCATAAATAAGAAAAAAAACAAAAATGAAATTCCCTTTTTATTTTAGTTTAAAAACCCTATCAGTTATACAGTGCCATTTCAGCAAACATCCAATTCTGCCAAGATTATTATGGCTACAATTGCAGACTTTGAGAAGTAAAAAGGGATTGATCTCTCTGGTCTCTAAAGCAGCACAGGGCAGTGAAGCATTCTGCCCCGACCATCTCTGCAAAGGCTAGAGAAGCCCATTTTCAGTAAAATAGTGTGGCATTTTCACTTTGAGAGTACAAAATCAGAGTTCAATACTCAGCTCTTTGGCAAATCTGTGAATTGGAGGAAATTGAAAGCTGTCAATGCTCATCCGCCCTTAAAATTATCTTCCAGCAAAACTGAAGAATGATCAATTCAACGGGAACATCCCTTTGAATGAGTGAGCAGCCATGAAAACCAGCAACTGTTCTCAACGCTAGGGCCTCATAAAGCAGTTTTCAAACTGGGATTGGTAAGCCATTGAGATTTTTTTTCCCCTCTGAGCTAAAATTTTTAAATGTGGCTCAATCTTTAATGATTAAACGTTGAAGGCCCTTAGTATTTTATTAAACCAATGGACTGAAATCCAATGTGCCCTCAAAGTCACTGGGAAGCCATCACTGCATGTGTGAGAGGCAGCTGATGGGGCCTGACATTACAGATCCCAAAGGACGGGGCGCATACTCACCATCTGGGGCACACCAAAAATGACAACATTGGAGTACTGTGCAAAGGTGACCTAAACAAGATGGGGAATAAATGCTAGATTAATGCTAAGAAGTCAAGAATCACAGTAACTTATCTCACTGGAGCGCACATGGCCAGGCAGCAGGCCTTCACGAACTCCCCCAAAGAAAAGCCTCCTTAAGAGGCACAGCAGAAAGAACACATTGCCCACACTCTGATGCATGCCACTCAAATACAGCAGCTTTCCAGATGCATCCTGGGCCTCATCTCCCCATCCTCACAACGACTCCACCAAGACAGAACCGTGCCCTGCTGCCAGTCAAATCACCTAAGGCCAACCTGTTTCACACAGCGGCATCTTCAGACTTCTAATCTTCCTCTTCCCGAAAACAGTGCATTGAAAGGTCAATAAAATGGCTTTTGCAGCAGTTGAAAGATGGGGTAAAAGTGCTTTGCCAGTCAAAATTCTTATTGCCCAATAAAAGTCGTATTTACTCTATGGAGACCATTTAGCTATATACAGCCTGAAAACAATACAACCAAAATCCAAGTGCATTTTTATAAGCTGTGAGGACAGTGGGAAATTCTTATTTAAGAAACAGCACTTTGAAGCTTCCTAACACAAAACACAGGCTTTTTTTTTTTTAAACAACAATAGCACAGGCACTAAGATCAACAATTAATAAATGGGACCTCGTGAAACTGAGAAGCTACTGTAAGGCAAGGACATTGTTGTAATTTAAGAAAAGCAGCTCGTGAGAGTAAGATGCCATGTGACAGGTTCAAGCAGAAGGTTTTTCTTTTATTAGAGAAAGGGATCATAAAAAGGGGGGAGACTGGCCTCCAGAAACAGGGGCAGCAGGTGGTTGGGGGGGGTAGGCAGGGCCCTTTTAAAAGGGAACATGAGTGAACGTTCACAGGTGATGCTCGAGAGAGGAGAGACAGAGCAGAGAGATGAGAGGGAGAGAAAGAGGAAGATGTGAGGTGGGCACAGCCCTTTTAAAAGGGAATATAGCACATAGTGAATGTGCACAGGTGATGCTCTTAGTGGCTGCAGCTGAAGGCGTATCCTGTCAGAACCCCAACGGCAGGCCAGTACAGATGTCTGAATACTAACAGACATCATCAATAGGACAAAACAAAAAGGCAGCCCATAGAATAGGAAAAGATCTTCACCAATTCTACATCTGACAGAGAGCTAATAGCCAAAATTAACAAAGACCAAGAAACTAGACAACAAACTAAATAATCCAATTTTAAAAAACAGGGTACAGATTCAAATAGAGAATTCTCAAAAGAGGGAACTCAAGTGGCCAAGAAACAAAGAAATGTTCAACATCCTTAGCCATCAGGGAAATACAATGCAAATCAGTTTTGACATTCCATCTTTTATCTATCAGAATGGCTAAGATTAAAAGTACAATTGACAGCTCATGCTGGCCAGGATGTGCAACAAGGACAGTCCTCCATTGCTGGTTTAGTTGATGTCCCTGGAGGCCTGCTCTGTTCTGAGGGGAGGTGGAGGGAGGGAGGATCTGGGAGAAAGAGAAGGTGGGGGCGAAAGGCCAGGAGGAGGGCAAAGAGGAGAAACTGCAGTTGGGATATAATATAGAGAAGAATGTACATAAATTAAAAATATAAAAGTAAAGAGCACAAATATATTTAGAAAATCCTTTTATGATTACGAGAAGGAGCCACCATAGCACGGCTCATAGTCTCTTCCTTTTATCATCCATTTTTGTCTCTCTTAACATGCAAGCACACACACAGAAAAGCCAAATATTTATCAAGAATAACCTATGATTTCCAAGTGAAATATCTCATTATTTCACCAAAAAAGTTAATGCTTTAATTTAGTTAATGAATTCTTAGCATTCATATGACTTTTTTTTTCCAAACGTGAAGCCTCTGCACTAAAGCACAGCCTATAACAAATCTACCATGTTACAATGCATTTGCACGGTTAACACCAAAACATGCATTTGGACTTAATTTTTCTTGTCAGTCACACTATGACTAAAGAAGTTCGCTCATCTACCACCATCCTCTGCATTCATTACATACCTTCCACAGATCTGAAACATAAAACTTGGCAGAGCCATGCACACCTTCTCTCCAGGCACGGTATCTGGAATACCAAACCAGCCAGGGGTTCAGTTCATAGCCCACAGCTGGGAACCCTTCCTTTGCAGCTGCAATCACCTGGACAGAGTAGGGGTTAACAAAAGAAAAATGCCATCTTGCATGAGAGTTCCATTTCTAGGGTTTATAACCCTAAAAGAGTCCACTAAAAGGCAACTCTTGAAAGCTATTGGGAAAGAGGAAGGGATCATTGTAAGGGGAAATATGGTAGTTTTAATGGCAATGGCCCCCATAAGCGAGTATAATTGAAGACTCGGTCCCCAGTTGGTGAAACTGTTTGGGAAGGGTTAGTAAGAGTGGCCTTACCAATGGTGGTTGTGCACACCAGTTCTCAGGAAGCAGATCTGAGTTCAAGGCCACCCTGATCTACAGAGAGGGTTCTAAGACAGCCAGGGATACACAGAGAAACCCTGTCTCAAAAAAAAAAAAAAAAAAAAAAAAAAAAAAAAAAACACACAAGGAAGAGTGGCTTCCCTCAAGGAGGTATGTTCTGGGAGCAGGCTTTGAGGTTTCAAAAGCCTGCAGCACTCCCAGCTAGCTCTCTCTCTGCCTTCTGCACATACACCAGACGTGAGCTCTCAGCTACTGCTCCAGCACACAGCCTGGTGCCATGCTCCCCATCATAAATGCTCCCCACCATGATGGTATGGACCCTAACCCTCGGTAAGTCCCCAAACACTCTATGAGTTCTTGGTCATGGTGTCTCATCACAGCAATAGAAAAGTAAACAGGAGTGAGGAGATGGTAAGTGGAATGATCAGGATCAAAGTGCATTGTGTATGTGGACAAAATTTCACAATGAAACCCATTATTTCATATAATTAGTATCAGCTTAAAAAGAAAAGAAAAAGCTACTACTCATTTTGATGAAGACCTCGTGTAAAAAATGTTTTAACTAGGCAGGGGATGGTGGTGGTGTGCCTTTATTCCCAGCACTCAGAAGGCAGAGGCAGGTGAATCTCTGTGAGTTCCAAGGCCAACTTGGGCTACAGAGCTAGTTCCAGGACTGCCAAAGCTGTTACACAGGGAAACTCTGTCTCTAAAAGTTATATCTTAATGTTAGAGTTCATGGACAAGACATGACTAACCCAAAGTTTTCTACATTTTGTCAAAGATTTTGCTTTGAGTTCAGGCTTGTGTTGAACAAATGCATCCCTAATTCTGGCTCAGCTAACCCTAGGTGACAAAAAACCAAACCAAAAACCACCATGGCTGAAAATCTGCACATCTCTCCATCACTGGCTGGCAGAGCAGCAGGGAAAATAGAAGTGAATAGTGGATAATGCATAATAAAAATAACCTGTCCAAAGACCATAGCCCTCAGAAGCTCACAACAGCTGCGGTCACCTGCATGCAATAAAGCCAGTCAACCTGCTAGCTTGGAATGGAGAGAGAGGCTCACAAGCCCCGCCCCCAGCCAGATGGGAAAGTTCAGTGGTGAGCAGTGATAAGTGAACACTGGGAATTACTTAATATCCCAGAATTAAAAATGGTTAAATATTATGTTTCATGACATTCTGCCACAGTATAAGCAATGTTTAGGGCGCCTGAGACACTTCAGTGTCTCTATCATGACTTGATGTCTCAGCCACAAAGCCAGTGTCCATGGGACCTAGAAAATATGGTACAGGCCTGCCTGTCTGCACGCCACATGCTGCCAGGACAAAAGCCCTTCCCGGTGCTGCCCCCACTCCTGCTCATGGTCAGGGTGAGGCCACCTTCCTCACTGAGGACCAACCACCTGACAGTGACCTTGTCTTTACTCAGAGATTCAGGCTGGGGTCACAACATGTCAAAGTCATTACAATTCTAATTTGTTTCTAAGACAAGACCTCTTGTAGCTGGCCTTGAAGTCCTGATCCTCCTGCCTCTACCTCCCAAGTACTGGGATTTCAGCTACATACTATCTATGCCCACCCTGAAATCCTATCTTTAGGCAAACAGAGCTTCACCAATGGCCCTTCTCATTTTAGCTTTCCATCAGCCCCAAGGAATCTTTACTTACTCATGTGTCAATAGAGAGAAATATAAAGCAAGCATCTAAACTGCAAAAAAGTAAAGGTAGTTTAACTCCACAAGTCCACGGTTCTTGTAATCATGCCATATTTACTGGACCAAAATTTCTACTAGACTATTTGGTAATTAGCAATTAACTGCTCCTTTCTATCCGGCATGTTTACAGAGTACTTTTCCTCCAGCAGGAAAAAAAAAAAAAAAAAATCAAAGAAATGAACGCTAAACACATGCTGGTGGTCCAACAGTTTAGCCAAACACAAAATGAAACATAGACTTTTCATTTTCAAACTGTCACATTTGGCAAATCTTTGCAGAAGTCTCATAAGAATCATAAAACACAAGTTTTAACAGTTCTGGTTCCAAGCCATAAGATATTTTGACATAACTCACAATGCGTCCATCGCCACTGCCGATGTCCACCAGGGGTCCTCTTCTGTGTCTCAGCATCTTCACAACATTTTCAATCTGCTTCGATGTCGCAGGTACAAATGGCAAACACACTTTCCGGAGGGCTGGTGTGATGAATGGTGTAGCCACAGCATATACTGTCACCAGCGCCCCACCAATGATCCCAGTAAACAAGAACCCCCAGTTGTTCTTCTTCAAGTTGTTGGACTCCAAACTGGTAGGCAGAACATGGCCCGACTGCCTTTCTTCCTCAGATATTTCTAGGTATGAACCATTGTTGAAAGAAAGCAGAAACACACACAGCACGCATTTGAAAACCAAGGCCACATCTTCTCAACAATTCTTCTAACATTCTTATTTATTTATGTTATGTGTGTACATGTGTGTGCATGTACACACACACACACACACACACAGAGAGAGAGAGAGAGAGAGAGAGAGAGAGAGAGAGAGAGAGAGAGAGGCCAGCAGAGATATCGCAGTCCCTGACGTTTTAATTTAAGAAAAGCAGCAGAGGGTTTTTTTATTAGGGAAAGGGATCATAAAAAGGGGGAAGGGGAGGAGGGAGATCAGCCTCTGAGATAGGAGCAGCAGGAGGGAGGAGAAAGCAAAGAGGGAGAGAGAGAAGCAGGAACAGACGTTGCTCCTAGTGGCCGCAGCTGAGGGTGTATCCTGTCAGAACCCCGAGAACAGGCTGGTACAGATGCCTGAACACTAACACCTGAAGCTGCGGTTACAGGGGGTTGTGGCTGCCTGACATGGGTGATGGGAACCAAACCTGTGTCTTCTGTAAGAGCAGTAAGTGCTCTTAACCAGTGAGCAAGCTCTCCAGCCAACTCTTTTTAAAGAATATATTCACTGGAAACAGCCTAATTTACAAGTATAAAATTCTACAATGACTTCAAAACTACAATGACCAAATTAAAATGATTTGGAGGAAATTCTTCAATACTAATGAAAAGTCAAAATCTTTTTTTTTTTTTTTTTCCCCAACGTACTAGTTTAGTACATGTTTAGGACTCCAGTAATTAATGTGTTATCTCAGTGTCCATTATTGCAAGTTTTAATCATAAACTTCACATTTTTACAGTCTGAACGAACAAAGCTTAAAGAAAAAACAATCATGAAAATGTCCAGTTATTGCCCATTTAAAGTGGGCTGAATGCACTATACACCAAAACTGCCCTATCATCTACAATCTAGTTGCTTTTGAAGCAACCAGAGATGAAAATCAGATTTTGCTGAAGTGTTTAATACATATGCTAATAAAAAAAATTGTTAAAGCGCATGGAGGGGTGGTTATCTCAATAGTCTCAGCACAGAAGAAAGCAAACATTCTAATCTATGACTGTGGAGAAATGAATGTCACCTTAATAGTCCTCCTCTTGAGTTTGCCCTTTAAAATGCATCCTTAGTGAGATGCAAAACTGAAGGGAAACAAGGTTGATTAATGACAAGTAAAGCACAGCTAAAAGCTAGACAAGGTGCCAGCTCTGTCACAGGGTTAACATGACCTCACAGCCCTCCTGATGAACCTCCACCTCCATCAAGTGTGGGCCCCAGAGCGGCTGGGGAAGTGACTGAGTTGGTGCAGGTAAGGCACTTATAAGGCTCGGGCACACAGGAAGCAGAGGCACCCAGTGTCAACTATTTACACATCACTGGAACAATGTGGAACCCATGGCAAACAGAGCAGTGCTGTGGGTAAGACTGAAAACACAGGAATCCACAGGAAGCAGGAAACAGTCAGAGGAGGGACAACAGATGCTCGCCATTCACATGTGGCTGGTCATAGCTGTCAGGTCATTCAAAAGGCATGCAGCGTGTATTCCAAGCTGCTCTAAGAAGTGGCCACAACCTTACTGGCTTACAACACATTTCTCACTGTCCACAGGAGGTCAGAAGTCTGCAGTGGGTAGACAAGGCTGCATTCCTCCTAAGGCCTTTAGACCAAGAAGTTCCTTTACACATCCCAGCCTTCAAAAGCTACCTACATGCTTTGACTTTTAGCTGCTTCCATCCTGAAATCTCCTTTCTTCCATCCCCATCCTTCTTTTTGACAGCAATGTGCACACCTAGTTTGTCCAAGATAATCTCTGATCCAAGATCTTCAGTCACATTTGATCAAGCTACATCAGTTAGAATGCAGATATGTGGGGGACGGGGGCATTCTACCCACTATACCCGTAAGTGGGTAGACTTAAAACTGACTTAAAACCATGAACATCGGACAGAATAAGAGCTGCAACGCAGCAACTGGTCACAATCCAGGACAGCTCTCCACACCCCGTTTCCTCGGCTCCGCGTGGCTTTATTCCCTTGCTTCTGACACCCCTTAAAGTGAGTTTTAGAGCTGCTTTTGTAGTAGAGAGACATGAGAAGGGGGGCGGGTGCTGCTGTGATCATGAGGAAGGGAAGCTATGTCTGATGCTGTGATGGGCGGTCTACTGCTTATGCTGCCATTTAGGCGTATAAAATTACCTTTAGGTGTTTGACAGTAGAAACCTTCAGTAATTTCAGTTATAATTTTGACACTTGTGGAAGAGAAGCCAAGGCTCATTTTTACTTTGCCTTCATGCAGTGTTCTCCTAGGAGCATCCTAATGGGACACAGCACAGGTTGTAGACACATTTAAGAGACAGTCCTGGTGTCTCAGAACCTAAGCTAGCTCTCTAACATCTGATAAGCTGCTACTGTAGTATGGATTGCTAACTGGAGAATTTTTCATTTTCTTTTCCTGCATAACTCAAAACTTAAGAAAAAGTTTATTACCCTTCTGATTATCATGTTTAAATTAACATGTATAAGGTATAAACAGAGAAAGACTGTGCAACAACTGTTAAAAGCCATCCTTGAAGACTACCAATGGGAAGAGTGGAGGCTCCATTGTTTTTTCCTTTTGAGACAGTCTTGCTATGAAGGCCATGCTGCCCTTGAACACATATTGAGCCTCTTGCCTCAGCCTAGAAGCATGGTGTTTTAGGCTTTACTGGGACAGAATTAATACAATTTGTCCACTGGATGTGTACAATTCAATGGGTTTTAGTATGGACGTATGCAACCCTAATCAGTTTTAGAACATTTTCATTGCCCACGTGCCCCTAATCCTTTAGCTGTCCCCATCCACCCTCTGCTGTCCCCTAAGTGACTATTATTTTTGGTCTCTATGTCCTCTACTTTAGACTTACATCAAATAGCTTGCAAAGGCCAGGGAGATGGCTCTGGATACAGTGCTTGTTGTTCAAACATGATGACCTACGTTCAGATCCCCAGCACCCCTGCAAAAGATAGATACACCCCCAGCACTGGACCCCAGGGATTGGCTCACCAGCCAGCCTAGCCAAAACAGGCAAGTTCCAGGCTCAGTGGACAAGCCTGTCTCAAACAATAGAGTACAACAGAAATACCTTATGTGAAGCTCTAGCCTACATGGGTACACATATGGAACTTATGCACACACAAACATACATATAGTATGTGGTCTTCTAACCAGGATCTGCATTTAAAATGATGTACTCTAGAGTCGCCGACCATCGATTCCTTATCACAATTTGATTCCTTTTTATAGCTGAACATAATCCCGTCATATAGACCACACTGGTTATCAATTTGGGCAATAATTAAAACACGGATCAGCTGGCCCAAATTCTACCTCATCTGTACCCTTCCATAAAACCAGCAATGTATGCAATAACAAGGTCCTGGTCTCCAGGGTCTTCCAGCTGGTCTGTGTAAGTAGTGGGGACCAACTGAGGTAGACAAAGGATCCAAGAAATGTTACAGGAACAAATGGTGGGGAACTGTAAGTAGAAAATTTGAACTGAGGGCAAAAGCAGCGAGCCTTGGAACCAGGGCAGGACAGAGTAGGAGTCTTTGAATGCAAGTGGTCATTGCTCTCTCCTTCACCACGTGGGATGGAGATCTAGCACCCGGTTGTAGACTTGGCAGCAAGTGCCTTTACTTGCTGAGCAACCCTTGAAGGCTTTCATGAAACCATACTTGATGACTACCCATAGATGAATGGCTAGAGTTCGGTATATACACACAATGGAGTTTTATTCAGTTGCAAAATAGGAATGACTCATGCAAATAAGTTTTCTCTCAGATGTAAAATCTTGACTGATTGGGGGCGGGGGAGGAGGGCAATCCACAATCCCAGCATCCCTCCGGGAAGAAGATCTCTGTGAGTTGGAGATCAACCTGGTCTACAGAGCAAGTTCTAGGACAGCCCGAGCTCACGTAACCCTTTCCTTGTCTGGTATAAGGGCAATGACATAAAATGGAGAGATGGTTCGGTGGCTAAAAGCACTGGCTGCTCATCCAGAGGTCCCGAGTTCAATTCCCAGCAACCACATGGTGGCTCACAACCATCCATAATGAAATCTGGTGCCCTCTTCTGGCCCGCAGGGATACATGCAAGCAGGACAGTGTATACATAATAAATAAGCATTTAAAAATAAAAATACTGCGTGCTGACAACCAGGCCCCTCAACACTTCCAGCGACCATGTCAAGCAGGCAAGATTATTGCTGCTGTTTTTGCAGAGAAGAAAACAAAACCACAGGCTCAGTAACTTCAGTGAGCCCAGCAGCCCTGGGCCTTCAGATCCGGCTGAGAACTAAGTGGCGTGCGGTGTGCACGCAGCCGGGAAGCAAGCACTGTGGTCGCCACCACCCAACCAGAAGGAAACCCGCAGGGGCGGGCGTGCGGGACGGCGCAGGCGCAGAGCGCGGCACCCACGCGCGCCCGCGACCACGCCTGCTGCCGGCCGCGCACCCGCGCCCCACGCGCGCCAGCGCCGCAGGGAACAGAGGAACCCGCCGCCATGCCGGCCAAACCTCACCTCCTCTCTCCATCGCGAAACTTCCGGGGTAGGCCGGAAGTGGAATCTACCATCTTCCCAGAGCCGGGGTGGGAATGAAGGAGAAACTGTCTTAGGGAAACTAGCTCCCTGCCGCCAGTCTGTAGCCAGAAACCCTCAGAAATCCAAACCTTCAATAAGTGGCTGAATTAGCATTTGGGTTCTAGACATCGCCATCAGGGTTTTGGAATCTCCCCCCTAGCTTCGTGGATAATAGAAGTTTCCAAGAGCTGAGGATTCCAGAAGTTACTGTGGGTCGTTAAAAGAGTCACAGTCGGGAAAAAAAAAAAATTCTCGGGCGGTCCTTACTGCGCACGCGCGCGAGACTTCGCGTCCTCTCGCGAGGGAGAGGTGCCTCTCTGTTCCGCAGTGGTCCCTGCCGGTTGTTGAAGAGCGCGTCTTGTGGCTCGCACACCATGGCGTCCGTGGGGACCCTCGCCTTTGATGAGTATGGGCGCCCCTTCCTCATCATCAAGGATCAAGACCGCAAGTCCCGTCTCATGGGGCTTGAGGCCCTCAAGGTAACGGCCCGGGACGCGAGGCAGCGGGATGAAGGGAGGCGGCCCGAGCGCTCCTCTGCGCCTGCGCTGGCGTGGGAGCGGTTCGGCCATGTGCTGGCCCGAAGGGTCGAGAATGAGCGGTTCCGAGGAGCCCCTGCGGGCTCCGTGTGCTCACCCGGCCCCCCGTGCGTGGGAGAGAGGAGGGCCGCCCGCCCCGCGTCCCTGCGTGGGGCTCAGCCACGCGCTCACCCGGGGACTCAGCGCGGGGCCGGGCGTGTGCTTTCCGAGTGACAGCGCTCGATGGAGGGGACTGTGCGGTGCACGCACTCGCGCGCGCACGTGTTTGCAAGGGCCAGAGCGTTGTGGTCGGAGCGGACTGTACATCCTCTTGGGCCAGGAAACACGCATTTTTTGGAATGGAGGGAGACAGTTTTCAGTGGCGCACAGCTGCCTCCAAACTATGATGTTTTCCCCAAAGTTGCAGCTTTTGGAACCCCCATCACAGGGAAACAAAGACGTTATCCCGAGGGAAGGCGGAGCCGAATTGATGAGTAGGAAGGAAAGGGATGAAAAGGGCCAAGACTCAGATAAGAAAGGAATAAGAAAGAGCTCGAACCCAGATAAGGAAGGAATGCCATCCACAGGTGTTGCCACAGAAAACGCAGAGGAAGGAGGGAGGGAGCCCCGTCTTGGGTTGTATGTGTGCCCGCCGTGCCTCCGGGTCTGAGGTGCCCTTGTTCGCCTAATGTTGGGGTCCTACTTAAACAGACTAGGAAATAATATATCTTCTCACTGACTCCAGTTACAAGAACTCTTTGGACCTGGTTTCTCCATGTGGACTTTCTGTCATGCCAACGACTTGACAGGTGTTGGAGTGACTGGAGAAGTGCACAGAGCAGTTGTAGATGTTTGGTTCTGTTCCCTTTGTACGGGGAATTATTTTCCAGGTCCTATGCCTTATGTATTTAGTTCCATTCTCCTCCCCCCCCCCAGGGTACTTGCAGATTGAGAAACATTCCAACAGGCAGAGATTTTAGCAGTGTAATTCATGTTAACAGTTGTGCGCTGTCAGCCATTTGTGCTAATTACATGGGCTATTGCCTGTGGTCCTCACTCAAGATAGATCTGCTTCCAGAATTGGGCACTTAGGGCAGGGTCATAGAGAAACGGCCAAAGGTTTCACAGCTGCTGCGATAGAGAAGGGCCATGACTTCAGTGTACCCCAGGCTGTGTCACCGCTAGTGATCCAGAGCCATGGGCTTAGCCTTGCTATTCAGGGCCAGATTATTGTAGTACAGGCCTGTTCTGTGTACAGCAAGGAACTGTTGCCCTCTGCTCAATGCATACCCTTTAGCCAACCAAAAATAAGCTCGGGTGTCCGCTGTCCTTGGGCACAGAAAGACATTTCTTTGTGGTGCTTTTCAAACAGCCCATTATGAATACCTACTTCAAAGTGCATTTTAAGAAGTCACCGGAGTTGGCAAAGACAAAATGAACTTGGTGTTTTGTGGTCAGCCATTGGGGATGATGCGAGAAGTTGAACGTGTGTACTTGCACAGTTCAGAAAACACGATGTTTCTCTGGTTAGAGAAGTTTGCATCCTTGTGCACTGTGAGAGTGAGAAGATTGAGTTAGCGCCAGGGACAGCCAGGAGTGCTTTGCCTTTGAGCTCTAGTGTTACAGGACCATGGGTCCTTTTAAACCTTTGGAATTGTTAAGGGACTTTAAAAATAAGTTAATTAGCAAATAAGGAGTGCATGGGATGTGGTTTTAGAATTCTGTAGGATAATATTGACCTGAGTTAAGTTAGTGGTGGCAAGAATAAAAACGAGACATTGAAGGAAACGAGAGCCAAGTGTGTCTGGGAACAGGGGATGGGTCTTGCAGGCTTGTACCCTTAATACTTTAATAACAGTAATATACATTCTGGTGTGGGGAGATTGTTGCCACTAACATCTGAGTTAGAAGAATTTGAATGAAAACTAATCAACAGGCCAGATGTTGCAGTGAAGCTGTGGGTTGCATTCCTAGAGTATAGAGGTCAAGATCTCAGGCCTACAGGGATGTTAGTAAGATTGTTGTTAAAATTGGTTTTCTGGGTCTGCCCCTTTGAGTGTGTTTAGATTTCTTAGAACTTCTGACACACTGAAGGGCCAAGATGACAAAAAGGTACCATGTGCTTGCCATGGCTGAAGATCATATAAACTTTTCTCCTGTAAAGTTCTATGTGACCCAGGGTATAGATGTATATAAAACAGGCATACCTTTACTGAGAATAAATAATAAAGAACATTACTTTTAAACAATGTTTGTTATACATATAACTTTGCTGTTTATTAAAGACAAAGGGCAGATTTATGTAATCATGAGATGTCTTGTGTGTTGATTTTGGGTTTTTATTTTAGATTTATTTATTTTATGTGTGTGTATGTATGGGTACCTTCACGTATGTATGTGCACACTGGTGCATGTGGAGGCCAGAAGAGGGCATCAGATCACCTGGAACTTGAGTACAGGCCTTTGGGAGCTGCCATGTGGGCAAGAGCAGGTGACCTTGACCACTGAGCCATCTCAGTCACTCTCCCAATGAACTGCACTTCCAATCCTTGCTCTAGTGTCTCTACAGCTAAATTTAGCCCATCATCCTTAAAAAGATTTCAGGGCAAAGACGAATTTTAGAGCAGTTTAAAACAGCAGTCTCCAGGTTCCAAGCCCATGGGTCATGGTACTAAATTCTCAGCCACCATTCACAATTTTCCTTTTGAAAATAGTGCTTGATAAGAATGTTAGCAACAGTGGCGTTCCCATGTGGGATTAATGTGGTATTTCTCTACAATGGGCTTTGGTGAAAACTGAAGATGTTATGTTTTACAATTGGACTTTGTATTCTCAGTTCAGTAATGGAAACAGCCTGCCTCCTGTGCTGAGAATGCAAAACACAGCACTTGACACTAAAGCTTATAGTTGTGAATGTTACTGTTCAAGTCAGACTTCTGTTGGCGTAGAAATTTCTAGATTTTAGAAATTACATCCCAACTCTTTTTTTTTTTTTTTTTTTTTTTTTTTCCTGTAAACATGAGCTATGTGCCTTTAATTGTTGAAATGATAGGTAACTGGGTATTTGCTTTTCTGTTTTATTTAGTCTCACATCATGGCTGCAAAAGCTGTAGCAAACACAATGAGAACTTCATTGGGACCAAATGGTAAGAGAAATGTTGATATTTTTAAATAAAGGATTGAATTTATCATACAGTCAGTGTAGCAGTCTTCCAGCTCATTCAGCCAAGATGCTCTGAGTGTCTGTGCTCCTTACTGTTCCAGTGTGCTCACAGCTTTAGATAGGTCTTTCTTTACATCATTAGCCGTGTTCCAGAACACACCTCTATCTTAAGTTGATGCTGTATTTAATGGTATTCTGTATGTAGTGTTGGTCTGCGTTTCTTTGTTTTGAGACACACTGTTTCCTTTGTGGAGCTTGAATTGTCTGATAGAAGGGTATCTGGTGGATGTTTTATGAGTATTGAATTTTTTTTCTAATGAATTTCAGGTAAGAGTTCCTTGAGATTTGAAATGGCTCTCTCTAGCCCCTGGTCATACATTCTTTTGCCAACTTCTGAACTTTTGTCCTTTAGGGCTGGACAAGATGATGGTAGATAAGGATGGCGATGTCACTGTAACAAATGACGGTGCCACCATTCTAAGCATGATGGATGTGGACCATCAAATTGCCAAGCTGATGGTTGAACTGTCCAAATCCCAGGATGATGAAATTGGAGATGGAACCACGGGAGTGGTTGGTAAGAAAAGAAACAGCCTTTCTAATGTAAGGTGTTTTAAAAGCGTCTCAGGAGCAAATGCTTCTGCATCAAGTCATGGGGACTGACTGAAGTTGGGGAGCACATTATGGCACAAGTGGGCAGACTTTGAAGAGTGGGGGCAAGAAGAACGGGAAGGAGGCTGGGAGCATTGGCAGCTTGTGGTGTGTGCTTCTCTGGTCCATTTGTTTGTGTGTTTGTTTAAGCTGCGGGTGTTAGTGAGATACGTTTGGAGGAGCAACATTTAGGGTTGTAAGTTGTATGGTATCAGTATTCATTGTCCTTGAGTTGACAGCTACATGATGATTACACAGAGAGTGCCCTGGTTCTCCTACCAAAATATGGAAGGGGGTTGACATGCCTTGATTCCTGCAGCTACTTCTCAATGAATTAGCTGGAAAAGGTGTATACATCTGAAGAGAAAACGTGCATTATCATGTTTGTTTTTACTATTAGCATTTTTTTTTTCCTGAAATTTGAAATCTTCAGATCGATCCAGAGTATGAGGGCTGGCAAGGTGGCTAAGCCAGCCAGTAAAGATGCTTGCTAGCAAAACCTAAACACCTGAGTTTGACTCTTGGGACCCATATCATAAACAGAGAGCTGAATCCAGCTGGGCATTTCTCCTCTCCATACCATGCATGCTTGTGCATACATACAAAACTAAATCTAATTTGTACTTGCTTTACAGATCAAAGGAGATGGGAACACATTAATATGTGCAGGGTTATCTTTGCTGTAGCTAATTTAAAGTTGTTAAAATATGGAATTGCCATAATTTCCCAAGCACTATTGTAGGTGTGCTTGGATGCAATGGGTTTTTAATTAATAGAAC